CTGCGTTGGCTGCGCCCGACGCCACGATTCGCGAACTTCGTCTCGCCCGATCCCTAAACTGCCTCAGCATGTCCGATGCCAGGATCCACAAACTTCGTCTCGCCCGATCCCTAAACTGCCTCGGCTACGCCCGACGCCAGGATCCACGACTCCGTCTCGCCCGATCCCTAAACTGCCTCGGCTGCGCCCGACGCCAGGATCCACGAACTTCGTCTCGCCCAATCCCTAAACTGCCTCGGCACGTCCGACGCTAGGATCCATGAACTTCGTCTCGCCCGATCCCTAAACTGCCTCGGCTGCGCCCGACGCCAGGATCCATGAAACTCCATCTCACTCGATCCCTAAACTGCCCGCTGACAAACCCCCCAGGTGATTTTGCCCGAATCGCCCGGGGGCTCAGGGGCTAGACCCGTGGGTGCGCTCATGCGCACCCACTGACGAAACGAAACTTCCCCCACTAGCAACATGAAAAAACCCCCAGATGATTCTACCCGAATCGCACGGGGGCTCGGGGGCTACACCCACGGGTGCGCTCGCATGACCCGCCGTTAAGACAAAAATCCCCCAGACGATTCTACCCGAATCACTCGGGGGCTCGGTGGCTCCTGTCGGGTTCATAAACCTTGGGTCCCTCATGGACCGACTCCCCAACAAAGGTTCAGCCCAGCAGACAACCTTGCGAACGACGTACAACTCCTGGGCCAGCCCAAAATACCTAAACGACAGGCCAGAAGGGCGATCCAATCTCCGACCGAAGGCCTCGCTAAGGAGGAACAACGCTCGCCTCCGACTTCGGCCCGCCTCTCCGACCGGAAGGCCTGGCCAAAGAGGAACAGCGCTTGCTTCTGGCTCTGGCCCGCCTCTCCGATCGAAAGGCCTGGCCAAACACCACTTCCGACTCGCGTCTCCAACTGGGGATGCACCAAACCCTGCTCATAGCTCTTCTCCAACTGGCGCAATCAGAGCCGACTAGGACCAACCGACCGGGGACGCCCGCTCGGTAAGGACCAGGAAATGGACGAAGAAAGTAAGGCCGGGCACTCAAGTCAACCGCAATACTACGACCTTCCTGGCATGACAGAACCCAAGCAGTGTTGTAGGCGCCGACATTTTCCCTACAGTGTTGTGGGCGCCATCAACTTCCATACCAGACAAACACGGTAAGGCTCCCCCACATGCCTCTGGGCATCAACAGTGTTATGGGTGCCGGCATTTACCGTACCAGACGAACATGGTAAAACCCCCTGCATGCCTCTGGGCATCAACAGTATGGCAGGCACCGACGTCTGCCATACCAGAAGAAGATGACACAACCTCCCACATGCATCTAACATTAATAGTGTTATGGGCATCTACAGTCATCTTGTACCCGACGGCGTGGGCACCAAGACTTAGTAGCATGCGTACTCTCTCTCTCTCGCTTGTAAGGCCGTCCCCTTCATCTATAAAAGGGGATGCGCTCTCTCCCAACAGAGAGATCTCTCAGTTCACTTACATTGATTCACCCTCTGTAGCTTTAGACACTCTAAAGCTACACAGAGCACATGATCGAACACTTAGCACATAGCGGAGCTCCCGTCACTCTCGGCCCTTCAGACCAGAGTCTGACCGGACCTCTTATACCCCCTATCTTTCTCCCTTCCGTTTGTAACCCCACAGCAAACTTCGAGCACCTAGGCTCAGGAATAAAGTCACCGACCGACTCAAACTGGACATAGGGCATGTTGCCTGAACCAGTATAAACCCTGTGTCATTGAGTGCTAGGCCACATCCGATCACAACATACAGCAAAACTACAAATATTTATGTGTTGCCCACTTTCTGCACCGACATAGGGCTTAAACGCTCGAACCAAGATAAACCCTTTGTGTCTTGAGTGCTAAGCCACCGAAGTCCATAGTATCAACCCACGATCGAATCACTAATCACTGTTGCAGAATTGAACCCATGACAATATCCTCAGATTTAGGACGCCCCGTCCCATAAAATCGAGGGGAGGGGTTGTCCCCTTCGCACATCGTTGTTGGTCCATCTGGCACAGTCATAGAGACAAGATTGGGGTTGACACAGGTGTGTGAGCCCTTGTGGTGCGCGAGCAGACCCGAAGTTGAGGGCATGGCGAAGGGAAGCGGTGAAGGTCTCGGTGCTCCCTTGGCTGCAAGGCAGGACAGTGGCGAGGTGCACTGTTCACTGTCGCGACAATAGCTCAGCGCTGACCGGACGCTAGAAGGTGATCGACCGGACGGAGGAACTGCAGTGTTCGATCGAGTTTAGAGAGGTTCCAGAGCGGCGCCAGCATGACCGGACGCGTCCGATCGACAGTGACCGAACTCAGCGCCGAGTCCGATCAACGCGCTAGCTTCAACGATCGGAACTACCGGACGTGTCCGGTCAGGACGAAAGCAGTGTCCGGTCAGTAGCAGAAAGCTGGGTTTCTTCCCCAACGGCTACTTTCTCGGTGGGGCTTATAAATAGAACCCCCAACTGGCCATTTAAGATGAGGAGAGCTGAGAAAACATATCAAGGGTGTTGATACACCATTTTAGAGATCTCCACTTGCATAGTGCTTAGTGATTTTTTAGGTGATTAGCGTAGGTGCTTTGCGAAGTGCTTAGATTGATTAGACCACCACTTATGCGCTTGCTCTAGGTTTAGGCCAAGTATTTAGTGAGGTTTGCATACCTCTTACCACTCGGTACTTGCGTGCACCATCGTTGAACATTGAAAGTTATGTTGTTTTTACCAATCGATTTTGAAACCCAAACTTATACCATTATTTGTGAACTCAATTATAATATTATTCCGCTGCAACTCTGTGTATGTGATGTGTATTTGCTTAATCATGCAATCTTGGTTGTGATGTTGATTTATCGAGGTCCTCCGTGACACTCGGCGGACTACCGGGTTTATATAAGTGAAAGTATCCGTGTGTCAACGTGTTAGCGGGAACGGTCTTGTATAAATTAGAATGTTCTGTCGCACAGCGTGCTTTCGCGTCTACTGCATTTCTAATTGAAAAAAGTGGCCGACCACCAGTTTTGAAACCCGTCCCCGTACACCCTAGCTAGCTAGTCGGCGAACGCGCGCAGGAACACGTTGTCTTGCAAGCGTGTGAACACGTACAGGCTCGCAGCCAGCAGCATGCTGATACAGTGATACCTGCGCTCCAGCACCCATCATTGCCTAAAGGATCAAGTACTAAAATCACCGCATCACACTACTTAAAAAAAAACATTTGTAGGAGTGGCTGACGATGGTTTGTAGAGGCGGCTCGGCCAGCCGCCCCTACCATACCGTCTCTACAAATCATGTATTTGTAGGGGTGGTTCCCAGACTGTCCCTAAAAATCGATTTGTAGGGGCGGCTGGTATTATCAGCCGTCTTTACAAATCGATTTGTAGGGGCAGTTCAGTTTAGAACCACCCCTACAGTACATTTTTCCGCAAAAAAAATTTAAATTTACAATTCAAATTCGACCAGAACATATATTTTTCATGCACAACTCCATCATGACTTATCTTGTTCTGCGATTGTACTGAAACTCAATGACAATGCACATTTATTTATACCAGATTATAACAAATATTCTATGACTTTTAGGTGGACAGTTTAGTCCATATAAATGAAACAACAAATTTCATCTATTAAACTTTCCAGTAATCGTAATAACATTTGCAAATCAGTCATGATCTCTTTCCTGTGTGGCAAGGATAATGGGCCTGCAATTTTGCAAAACAAAACTATTTCAGTGTAATGTCCTTAAGTTAATTTGTAATATGTCTACTTTCACAAAATTGTGAGATCATCATGTTGTACCAAGGTGTTGAGATGTTGTTCATTTAAATAAGTAATCCATCATTTGTTCTTTACACAACCTTTTTCTTGAGTTTATTATTATACATATACGCTTTTGCATGATAAATAAATGATGTGAAGTATTCAAAGTAAAAAGGATGAACTGTTAAAACTAACATATTTCTGGGGTTTGGCATGAACTGTTAAAACTAACAGCAAGCTAAATAATAGCAGTATAGATCAATAGGTGAAAGTACAAGAGAAAGCAATCCAGTTTGATTGGCAAGCCTGTATTATTTGGAACTCATTACAACAACACGTGAAATAATAGCAGTATAGATCAATTAATAGGTCAAATTAATCATGGAAACACCGAAATAGACATACTCCAAGAGCATTTAGAAAAATAGATACACAGAATGGCTTACTCAGGAAATATGTTACCGGAGACGGCTTCTTTGCCGAGTGTCCCAGACTTTGCCGAGTGCTTTTTATCGGGCACTCGGCAAAGAGGTTGTTTGCCGAGTGCCAGAGAGAAAGCACTCGGCAAATAACTAGCACTCGGCAAAAAGGTGGTTTGCCGAGTGCCAAGCACTCGGCAAACAATAACACTCGGCAAACACTCGACAAAGACCGTGTTTGCCGAGTGTCGGGCACTCGGCAAACTAGAACACTCGGCAAAGGGCCGCCGTCGTTAACGGCCGGCAGCCGCCGTTCACCCTTTGCCGAGTGTCTTCTCCTGACACTCGGCAAAGCGGTGATTTGTCGAGTGTCATTTTTTGGCACTCAGCAAACCATATTTTTTTGCCGAGTGCCAGGACGTGGCACTCGGCAAAGAAATAAAATCTTTTTTCTGAAAAAAATGAGAAGAAAAAAAATGAAAAAAATACTTTGCCGAGTGCCCGATCTAGGACACTCGGCAAACAAAAATATCTTCTTTAACACGTGTCCTTCCATGAACAGAGAAAAAAAAAATAAAAAAAAAGATTCTTTGCCGAGTGTCAGATCTAAGACACTCGGCAAACACTGCTTCGTCGAGTGTCAGATCTAGACACTCGGCAAAGTTCCTATACTATATAACTCACGGAGACCGTCCTCGGGAGCGCCGGCCCGCCCGCCGCACCCCTGTTCCTCCTCGGTTCCGCGTCCCTCCTGGAGCCCCACTGCCGCCTCCTCCTCCTCAGCCTTCACAGCAGCATGCTCTCATGCACGACGCTCCGGCCATCGCCGCGGGGCTGACGCTCCCTCCCCCTCCACCGCTTCAAGACAAGCGCTGCCACGAGCCTCCACAGCAACAGCAGCAGCAGCAGCAGGAGCCGCATCCGGCGTCGCAATCTCCCAAGGCCCCAACGGCGGAGGAGACTGCCGCGGCCGCGGCCGCGAAGGAGCGGAAGCAGGAGCAGCGGCGGAAGCAGCGCGATGAGGAGGGGCTCCACCTGCTGACGCTGCTGCTGCAGTGCGCGGAGGCCGTGAACGCGGACAACCTTGACGACGCGCACCAGACTGTGTTTCCATTTTTTCTCCTTTTTCGTTCTTGAGTTTGATCTCAATTTCCCGAAGTTTGGGTCAATCCCATGCAATGATTTTTGGGGAATAGGTTCGTGCTAGGTTGAGTTGCATCTGTGCAAAATTTGAGAGCCATTCATGGAGTTTTAGTTTGGTTTTCGTTAGATTTTGGTCGCTCCTTTTTCTTCTGTTCGTTCTTGCTTCTTATCTGTTAGTGTGTTCGTCACTGTATCGAGCAGGAGCAGCTGTCCAGCAGCACTACCAGCGCTAAGTGCTCAGGCACCAAGCGAGCTCACTTGAGCGGTGCTTGCTGTGGGTGCTCCTGGCTAGTGTTGGCGGCTGCGGGCTTCGTGGCGTGGCGGCGGGAGGCAAGGGTGGCGGCGGCAGGTGGTGGCGGCGGCCAGCTTGTTTTTTTTATTTTTTTTTTACCTTTGCCGAGTGCTTGACCTTGACACTCGGCAAAGCCGCCGTCACGGTGGCACTCGCCGTCACGGCGACTTTTCTTTGCCAAGTGTCAGATTAGCACTCGGCAAAGGCTTTGCCGAGTGCCCGATAAAGTGCACTCGGTAAAGAGGTATTTGCCGATAAACTGTTTGCCGAGTGTCCTTTGCCGAGTGTAACACTCGACAAAGGCTTTGCCAAGTGTATATCGGCCTTTGCCGAGTGCCTGAGGCACTCGGCAAAGAAACTGAATCCGGTAGTGAACGTTTCTGGGGTTCAGTCATAGACAACGTGCTCCCGAAAGGCGAAAGGCTCCCTAAAAAGAGCAAAATAGTCACATTTCGCCTGGTGTGCACTTGTGGTAGCATGCAAAAACAATTTTACTAAATTTCAGAATTTCTTCTCCATCCTTTCGCACAACTCCTATGTATGCCACTATTAATGATTTTTTTCAACCAATCCATGGAAGTTTCAGGCTCATTTGCGATCAAAACAGGAAGAATAGCGATGCATCAAACTACTTGAAAAGGGGTGCAGGCACGGAAACGGAAAGCGAGTCCAATAGCTCTACCACTCGTAGAAAATGGACGAGGACATGCTGCAGCTGGAGAGTAATTATTTCCGAGATGGCAAACATGCAACAGGAGTTCTCAGAGAAGCAAGTGTGACACTCTTGACAAGGCTACTATACAGGATTTCTACCTGACCTGACCTGATGACCCCAACTAAACTCAAAGTACCACTATATTCAGGAGATTTGGTTCAGAAGCCAGTATTTGATTAGAAGCCGCAAAGTGTGTTTCCAAGGGGATGCAACTTACCAGGAACAGAGTGTCTGCTTCTCCTTGACGGTGTCGCTGCAGTGTCTGGCGGCGGCAGCCCCACAGCGTCTCGGTGCAGTCGTTGCCCTGCAGCCCCTTCCTTGACCATGACCACATCCCAGCAGTGGCCCCGCCCGCCCCCCCCCGCCCCCCCTGCGATTTGGCGGCAGCCGGCGGCCCGACCTATCTCCCTCCCTCCTTTAGGTCCTCTCGGCGGTGCGGCACACGCACATTGCGGGAGAGCCCGTGAATGGCCATGGATGATGGACCCTCTGCTCTCGCCTGCCTCCTCTCAATATCATCGCTATGGGTCCTTGGATCGGAATTGGACTTGGACGTGGGTGGTGAAAGGAAAGTCACGGTATGCCTTGACAGAAGAAGTCACGAATCTGAATCCCAATCATGCCATAATTCAGTGAACTAGAACATCACGCACCCTCCACTAACTTAAGAACAAAAGCGAATCTTGACAGATAGCCAAATAGCTTGCAATTAGATCAGATCCAATTACAGATAGCCAAATAGCTTAGTCGGAGAAGGGGCCGGCATACCTGGGTGCTCCTGCAAACGTACGGCACTGGGTGCTCCTGCTCGACTCGGTCGAATGCGCTAGGCGTTGGACGACAGTGCCGCCTGGACGAGCGACCGGCCACGGGTGTCCACGGCAAGCGCTGCTCAGGTGAGCTCCCACGGCACTAGAGCGCTCGGCGCTCGTAGTATTGCCTCCCCGCGACCCGCATCAGGCCATCAAAAGGATTCGACGAAAACCAACTGTACGAACAGAAAAACAACCGACCATAGAAATCGACGAAAACCAAACCAAATCAAAAGGATTCGATCCCTAACTTTGCACAGGCCATCACAAGTGGGTTAGTGAGGATACTCCAAGAGATCATCATCCAATTTCTACCCAATCTCTGAGAAATTTCAGATCGAGCCAAGAACACGTAAAAGTCCCCCAAAACGAAAATCGTTGATTTCTTCGTGCTCGAGTCGATTCAATCAAGTTAACTCTTAGGATAGCTTCAAATCATGTCATAGCACGAATCAACGCAAAAAGAACGAACAGATTTAGTCTCAAATCGACAAAACGAAAAATCCTCAAAAATAGCTCTGAAAATCACAGCAAAAGGAAAAAGTCAGATTCGGAGAGGAGAACAAGTGCATCACTACAAACCGTGGGTCTAGAGCTCGTCGGCCGGGGAGGGGGGGGGGCGCTGCCGCGCCGCGCGGGCGGGCGAGGAGCCGCGGCCATCGAAACAACGAGCGAGGGAGAGAGAGAGGGAGGGGAAGAGAACACTGGAAGAGTCGAGACGGAGAGAGAGAGTGGATGACAGTAGATATTTTGGATGGGTGACTCCGTGACTATACGTGGGGCATTTGTAGGAGCGGCTCAATCACCAGCCGCCCCTACAAATAGATACACTCGGGGCGGCTGGTGAGTGTGCCGCCCCTATAAATCGATCCATTTGTAGGGGCGACTCGTATCACCAGCCGCCCCTGCTGTTCCATTTGTAGGGGCAGTTGATCTCGTGGCTCTCGAACACGCCACTGTTGGGGCGGCTCCATCACCAGTCGCCCCTAAAAAAACTTGTCCTGTTGCTACAAACCGTTTTTCACGTAGTGTCAGTGTGAAGAAGATGCTATACCATTGTTTATCTGAATTTATTCCTCGAATCCTACACCAATGTATTATGGTGTTGTTGGTCAATTCTCCATCCATAAATTTTCTTTACATATAAATGCAACATGATTCCCGCAGCAACACACGGGGTATCATCTGTTAAAAATGAATGCTCATGTCTCCTAAGATACTAGCCCATACGATGATGGATTAGTAGATTTAATATATAGGATATCATTGTATTATTGTCAATATTGTCTTAAATTATGGATACCAAAGTTATCATAAAATAAACCATAGCTCTTAATAACATGTAGAAGGAGGAAAAAAACAATGTATTGATCGGTTTGGTGTGCGAGGTTTATTTTACTCCCGTAGTGAAGCCCCTTGAAATTTTTGCTAGTTTATTAGGTACAAATTTAAGAGGTTGCCTCCTGTTCTTTGATCCAATTAGGTAATAAGCCAATGACGCGCCATTTACAAATACGTAGTAGTATATAATATTGTGGTTAGTAAGCTAGCGTCGCCAATCGTGTAGTGAGAGTCCACGCGCGATTTTTTTTTTTTTTTTTGGTATATGCGTTGGCCGGCCGTATTGTTTTGGCAAACTCCAGCGAGAGACAAGCTCGATCATAGCCTATCACAACAAGTGCCGTGTTTGGGAAAAAAAAAACTCCCCAATTGTATTGATCAGTCATTGTAGCTTTAAGGTGAAGGTGCTCCTATCGAAAAAAGTGGTTCCCCAAAGCCGTGAATTAGGTGAACGGGCATCGGATCAAATCTGGATCAAGCATGGAGGGCAGCGGCAAGGCGACTGGATCGAGTTCGTCCACCACTAGCAGCTCCTCATCAGGTACCATAGTCTCGACCACCTACACACCTAGTGCCTCTCAAGTTTCCTCTATGTCATTGGAATTCGGCGAGCACGAGTGTCGGGAAGAAATGGAGAGGAGGACTATAAGCATGGTCCAGGAATTCTTTGGTGTGCCATCGGCGAGCTTCGACGGCGGTGACATGAGTGTCCTAGAGAGCTGGCTGACGGAGCTGGGCGTCGGCTGGGTTCTCTACGTCGCTGGTGGTGATGGTGCATCTGCAGTTGATCGACCTGGAACATGGTCCAGGGGTCTGGATCCGGGCACTCGCTCAGATCATGGAAACCATCCATTCCACGGCGTAGCTGTTTCCGGATCGTGACTCCCTGGGCCTGGACAGTATTTCCGAGGAGGTGGAGGATCAAGAAGATGAGGAACCTGAGGCAGAGAGTTGCATTCCTGACCAGTTCCAATTTGTACGATTTATCCAAGAAGCAATGTTAAAAATGCTTGCTTTTGTCGATGCCATAGTTGCTCCGCCTCCGAATCATCCTGATGCAACTGGACAAGCTGTTGGTAGCAGAGGCGGGGTGCTGGCATCATGCGAGAAGCTCCATGCTCTGCTGGATGTGCGCGGTGCTCTGGCCAAGGCCTTATCGCAGCTCGGGTTGCCATCCCACCCCGATCCATCCCGGCACTCTGCACAAGTTGTGAGGGTGCAGGCAGAGACGGTGAGCCTCTTGTCTGCAAAGGAAGGCAAGGCAGGCGAGGCCATATGGACTATGGAGCACAATGGAAGAGGTTAGGACCCTTGGGATGCTGGTGCTCAGACTCGGCGAGGGTCGTCAGGCATTCACAGGATCACGCTGTCCATGATGAGCTACATCAAGTTGTAGGCAACGTATCAGGTGTAAACCAACTAACCTGTGTAAACTTGGAAACTACTAATCAGGACCACTAGATGCTGATCTAATGTATGGGGTGAGAGGTGGGATTTTTTTGCGCTTAAGCCCCCCACCCGACGGCCTTTTTTTTTACGCTTAAGCCCCCTCACCCCATCCATTGGATCAGCATCTAGTGGTCCTGATTAGTAGTTTCTAAGTTTACACAAGTTGGTTGGTTTGCACCTTATTGTTGCCCTGTAAGTATGAGCCTCGGATCGGAATTGGATACGTGCCACCTCTGAGCAGCCTCATCGTGGAGATGGCGTCCTATCTGGGAGAAAAGCTCACCAACAAGCCAGAATCATTCACAGATGAGAGCCTCAAGTCCTTATTCCTGCTCAACAACTCGTATTTCTTATGGCAGCAGGTCCGACCAATTTGGTCTTTCCT